TTAAATAGTCCCTCCTTAAGACTCTCCTTAGCTTTTGGGCTACTGCATTCTTTGTTTTTTTTCCCCACTCCTTTTTAGGCTTCCTTATTCTATTTCTTTTGGAGAATGGGAGGGAGAGCTCTTCTCTACTTGCTTTATACTTTTTAAACAATGCTATTAATGTTACTGAGAAAAATCTGTTTTAGAGTAGAACAGATTTTGTATTAAATTCTGACATCATTTTCTTCCAGATTTTATTTTCGTTTAAAAAATATCAGTGCTTGATTTGTTTTTCCCTGTTCATTGAATATTTAAGATAAATAAGATGAGCATAAATGCTTATGGGGATAATTGCATGGGAATAGAATTCAACTTTTTTTTGTATTTTTGCTCTAGGTTAGTAGTGATAGAATTATCTTGGTTTAGAAATTAAAATTTAATAATTTGTTGTCACTATTGTGTTCAGCTGCAGTTCTTAATTATTTTTACCCATTTATATTCAACTATTTGAGGAACCTGTTATTCCTTACATTAATATGTAAGCTCCAGGTTTTTCTTTTCAGAGTGGAGGAAGATAAAAAATGAAACAGGTTTTAGAAAAGGGAGTGAGTATAGGAGGAAGAGCAGTTTCAAATGACTATTGTTTCCCAATATATATATGTCTGAATTTCAGGGAAAAAGCCTTGGACTATCTAGAAAACTTGGGAGTAGACAGCATATAGTCAGACATTAATTGAAGTTGATTAACAAGATTAGATCAGCTCAAAGTGAATAAAAATGGAGACAAGAGGATATCCAAGAAGTGAGCTCTTGGTATTCCAGCCTTTACTAAAGGTTGGGAAGATGAGGAGGAACCAGCAAAGGAGACCAATTGAGCAGCTCTTCAGGTAGAAAGAATAACAGGAGATTTGTTGTCTGAAAAGTCAAGAAAATGTTTCAAGGACTACGGCATAGTTAACTCAATGTATCAAATGCTGCTATTTGTTCACGTAAAGTGAAAGACATATTTAATGACTTAACAAGGGACAGTGGAATTGAAAGCCTAATTGAGATTGGGTTTCAGAGAGACTAGGAGGAAATGAATTGAAGACAATAAAATAACACCCCCCCCCCCCCCCCCCAGTTTTGCTTTAAAGGAGCACAAAAATTTACTATGAACTTTGTACCAGTTAAGTAAAAATTCAAAAAATTTTCTGGAAAAGTTGTATTACTAAGTAATACCACCATATTTTTTTCTATATTGTGTGGTTGAGAATCTTTATATGTTTATTGGACAATTGTATTTCCTTTTATGTAAATTGCCTGTTCATCTCCTTTCCCCATTCTTTTAATGATTGTATTGTCTTTAATTAATCTGTAGGAATTTTTGTTTTGTTTTAAATGTTTTTACAGAGCCAATAATCTAAGGTGGAGGATTGGCAAACAATGGCCTGTAGGCTTTGTGTGTTTCGTCAGTGAAGTTTTATTGGGACATAGCCAGACCCATTTGTTTACATATTATCATTGATTAAATAAAAAACAATGTTTGCCAGTCCCTGATCCAAGGCAATAATAGTTTTGTCCATATTTCCTTGGAGTAAAGTTCTAGAAAGGGTAATTCTGAAAATGGGAAATTTAACTCTCTGATGTAAATTCTGTGTTCTATCCTCTACAACATGCTTTTTCTACCTTTATTTAATGGAATCTTATTAAAATAACGGTCAACAGATAGATATTAAACACCTATTTTGTTTCAGCTCTTTCCCAAAGATTTTAGGACTACTGAGATTATAAGATGTGGTATCTACTCCTAATGAGTTTACTGTCTAGTTCAGTGATTCCAGCCCTTTTCATCTCATGACACACACAAATTACTAAAATTCTGGGGCATACCAAAAAATGTATTTTTTGCCGAGCTAACAACAAAAATAGGTATAATTTTGATTCATTCAGACACATATTGTGTTGGCTGTTATCAACTTTATTTAGTTAGTTATTTTTATCATCACCTGAGGACATTTTTGCATTTATCTTCAGATAGGGAGGGACGGGGGAGGAAGAGAGAGAGGGAGAAACATCTATGTGAGAGAAACACATAGACTGGCTGCCATCCACAGGACCCCAACTGGGACCAGGGGAAAAACTGCAACTGAGGTACATCCCTTTGGTGGGAACCGAACCCAGGTCTCTCTGGTCTGTGAGCCAACGCTGTAACCACGGAGCCAAACTGGCCAGGTCGGCTGTTACCATTTTTTAATTTGACAGTCTAAGGGAAAAGAGGTCAGTGCACCTGACTAAATAGTAAGGTATTGCATGTTTTTAAAATTCTTGCAGCACACCAGTTGAAAATCACTGATGTAGTCTGACTGAAAGAATTCCACACATAGAACTGTATATTAAAACATGGCAACTTGTAATGAGGCTATACTCAATACCAGAAGAATTATAACAGAAACTATCTGTGAGTGAAGGCAGATTTTTACTTAAGCTTTCAGATGAATTTCAGAAGTCACAGGAACTACTTGAAATTATATATAAAAATGTATGTGCATGGGCCTTTGGTTATTATTTCTGGTTGAAGGAGGTGCACTCAGATTCTCTTGAGATGTTGGGAACAAAAAAAAAATTAAAGAAATATAGCACCTTACTCCATTCTATAGAATCTGTTAATGCCATTTTTCTTATCCAGAGTTCTTTCCATTAAATAAAACTCGAGCATACATTTTAATTCTATGTGTCTATTCTAAAATTCTAAGGAGTGTTTTGATTTGTGTTGAGAATCCAGTCATACCCTCTAAGCATATCTAGAAAATGGAAATTAGGTGAGAGGAGGAGGTTTTTGAGTAAAATGAGGGAATCTTAAGCTAAGCTTGACGTTTCTATTAGACAAGAGGGAACTAACATGCATATAAGAGGCAGACCAAACCAGGCCAATTGGCTCTACTGTGTTCTGGATTATCTGGCTTGCAGTTACCCTAATTGGAGCTATGGCTTATTTTATTCTTTGGGTGGTATGACAATTTGCTAAATAAAGACTGTAAACGTTCATTTCAAGTAACCCAATTATTCTGTGTCTCTGGGAACTTTGGGGACTAGGAAACGTAGGAGTCATCATTTTCAGTATTAAAATCAGGAATATTTGGGAAACTACTATATACAAAAAATGCTTTGTAATAAGTTTGCAGTCTACAAGAGAGCAAAACAATTTATTTAATTGGAACGGGTTGAAGCATGAGATCTTAAAAACATTTCTAATGAGCATAGGGTGGTAGATGAAAAGTTAATATTCTAAAACTTACGTTAAAGTTTAAAAATAGCTTTAATACTATATATGTACTGTACTAGCTTTTTTTTGTTTTGTTTTACTATAGTCATGTTTTACAGTTTTATTGTTTTAACTTAGTGTGAAGAACATATTTGTAAGAGCCTTGATAGATTCATCAGTGAACCTGGTCTTTGCCTATTTTCACTTGAAAGATCTTCTAAGTTTTTTTTTTTTAATTTTGTTTCTTTATTGATTTTTAGAGAGAGAGAAAGAGAGGGGAGAGAGAGAGAGAGAGAGAGAGAGAGAGAGAGAGAGAAACATCCATAAGAGAGAATATTAATTGGCTGCCTTCTGAATGCCCCCCACTGAGATCGGGCCCACAACCTGGCCATGTGCCCTAACCGGGAATTGAATTGGTGACCTCTTGGCGCATGGGTCTGTGCTCAACCACTGAGCCACACCAGCTGGGCTCTTTTAAGTTTTTTTTTAACTTGACTTTCTACCCTCAGGGCTGTTGGGATTAAAACACTGGTGTTTTCATAATAAATGCCATATCAAAATTTTTATATAGTGTTATATACTTTGTGATTGCTTACTTAATTTTGGTTTGGAATATGATTAAACAGCATGCCTTATTAAAGCCACTAGGGAACCAGTTGCAGTGATGTTGGGGAATAAACTAGAAATCCAAACATATTTGTGATTTGTTCTGTCCTATTTAATAATTGATTAGTTGATGAGATGCAGGTTGATTGGCCAAAAGCTATTTCTGATACCTCTGGGATTTTGTTGTAGCAATGAAATTGTGTAGGCACTTTCAGCAATCTCTCTCTCTTTTTTTTTAATCCTCACCCGAGGACATTTTTCCATTTTTTGTACAGATAGAGTGGGAGGGAGAGAGAGGAAGAGAGAGAGAGGGAAACATCGATGTGAAAGGGACACATCGAGTGGCTGCCACCCTCATGACCAACCAGGGCCGGGGACAAACTGCAACCGAGGTACATGCCCTTAGCGGGAACCGAACCCTGGTCTCTCCGGACCACAGGCGGACGCTCTAACCGCTGAGCCAAACCGGCCAGGGCAGCAATCTCTTTTTTGATAGCACTCTTTAATTGTTATATTTTAAAATACTTCTTGTGAAAATACTTTTTTGAACTTTACTTTTCTCATCTGTATGATGGCAAAAATAATGTTTATTATCAAGTAAGATTATATTGAAGATATGAAATAATATATGTTAAGCACCTAGCTTGGTTATTGGCACTGGTATCAAAGTAGCTATTACTTTTAAGTAACACTTTTCATTATCTTTAGAATAGCTTTTTCATTCCTCTTTTAGGAACTGTCCCATGACCATTGAGTAACAGTGAATAACCTGTCTGGTCAAAAATAATTCGGTCTTTTGACAGTTGTTTGCCAGTGGTTTGTAATTGAATGTAAGGAGTCTAAGTGCTTTATGGTAGCTGTTTTCACATTTTATTAATCTGTGGGTGACAGTAAATTATTAATTCTAAATAAGAGTGTTTTAAAAATTCTACATTATTAATTTTTTTTCCATGGTAAGAAATTATTATGAGTTTGCAGCAACACTTAAAAGTTAACTTGGTCTTTCATTTCTACTAGTTCATGCTCCCTTTTCATTCCCAAAATTTTATATTTTGAGACTCTAATTTCATGAAAAATTATTAACTGGATAGTTACACCAGAAGTGTAAATTACAATGTGCTGTTATGAATTCTAATGGAAGTAAGGTTTCCTATTCTCTTTTTGCTAACAGAGGTAGAAAATAATGACAGGGACAGAAAACCAGAGGAAGAAGAACAAGCAATACATGAAAATGAAAGACCTAAGAAAAGTAAGCATGTACAAAAAAACAACTAGTTTGAAAAAATAGTGATTCATTTATTGTACTTTAAAGACTGTGGAATATACTTTTATGTCCATAAGACGATTATAAAATTTTGCAATATAAGTAAGCAACTGTTAAATTATTTTGTTGATGGCTAACCCAAGAATCTTTCAGAGTATTAATTATTTTATAAATTTCAGTGTTTATTTTGTTTATACTTTTTATTGTTCCATAAGAAAGATTTAAGCTTAATATTTAGTTAAGTACTATCTGAATATCTTGAGGGAAATTGTTTTAGATTTATGTTTAAGTCATGGGACTATAAGACTTTTGTCTGGGGTGATATAAGTGAATGAAAGTATGTGTCTCAGCCTGCTTAAGCTTCATGGGAAGGGGAAGTGATGGGACTGAGTGTCATTAGGTTATAGGAAAGTCATTGGACTAGGAGTCAGGAAACCTGGATTCTGTAAGTCTCCCTGTCATACTGCTCTCTCCATGTCTAACTCTGTAAGTCACGATTATAAGAGAAGTCAGAAGAGGACTGGATAGAGCATAGACATTAAGGTCTATAATAAAAAACATCTGACAGATCATTATGCTTTTTGTTTATAGTTGAATTTTCCAGAAGAAAACGTTCTAAATCCGAGGACATGGACAATGTACAGTCTAAACGTCGTCGATATGTGGAAGAAGAATATGAGGCAGAATTTCAAGTAAAGATTACAGCCAAAGGAGATATTAATCAGAAGCTACAAAAGGTGTTACAGATTACATATTAAAAATCCTAAGTAACAAGCACACTATCTTTATTTTTCTAGATTTTTGAAAATTTTCTTTATTTTACTGACATACTCAGGTTGTTCATAGAAAAAGAGAATTTGAAGAAAGTGATTAAGCTTATTATCCTTCATAATTTAATTTTTTTTTTTTTATCCTCACCCGAGGATATTTTTCCATTTCTTGTACAGATAGAGTGGGAGGGAGAGAGAGAGAGAAACATCGACGTGAAGGGACACATCGAGTGGCTGCCACCCGCACGACCAACCAGGGCCGGGGACAAACTGCAACCGAAGTACGTGCCCTTAGCGGGAACCGAACCCGGGTCTCTCCGGACCGCAAGCCGACGCTCTAACCGCTGAGCCAAACCGGCCAGGGCCATAATTTAATTTTAAAATTTTCTTTTTTTAAAACCTATATAATTTATTTTAGATATTGTAGTAATTATCAAATTGGAAGAGAAATAGATGATGTCTTTTATTTGATTTAGTAACTAAGGTGAACATTAGTTTTCAGATTTTATTTTTTCTCCCGTATAAAACATTATTCTAATAGAAACATTAGTTAGAGTCTTATATGTTAATATTTTAATCTTTATAATAAGATGATTTCATGGTTGTAAGTCCCTACATTCTGAAATCTTTGTTATTACTTTAGGTTTAGTATTAAAAATGGTAGAGACAAGGCTTTTAAAGGACTCGGGAAAGGGAGTATAAAGTGTAAACTTTGACTCCCCGCCCCCAGTCTGCTAAACAATACATAGAACTGAAAATATGAAGTATTTAATATATTTTTTAAATGTTTTTACAAATTTTTATGACAAATTCCTTTTTAAGAGAGGAATATGAAACTCGTGAAATTTATTTTTCAAGGTCTTATCAATTTAATGATAAAATTATAAATCTAAGTTTTAGACCAATATTCTTCTGCTAAAATAAGTATAAATATTCATACTACGAAAAGGAATGTGAGGCAGTATAAAAAAGTGGTCTTTTTTTTTGTTCCAGTTTTTTTATTTGTCATATGTAGATAAATAATGTTTATTTACTGTTTCTTTTTTCTTTTTTTTTTTACTCCTCACACGAGGAAATTTTTTCGTTTATCTTCAGATAGAGTGGGAGGGAGAGGGAGAGAGAAAGAAACATTGATGTGAGAGAGAGACATTGATTGGTTGCCTCCCGCAGGACCTCGACCACGGCCTGGGACAAACCGCAACTGAGGCACATGCCCTTGTCCGGAAACGAACCTGAGACTCTTTGGTCCGCAGGTGGACACACTAACTGCTGAGCAAAATCAGCCAGGGCTATTTACAATTTCTTATAGAGTTGGTGGAAATATGAAGATAGCTATGTGAAAGAATTTTGAAAACATTGTGTACTGAGAGTTTACTCTTGAACAGTATCATTCATGTATGGTTCATGGATGTGTACCATGTGTCCTCTTTGTTATGGGTCCATAATGAAATAAATATGGAAATTGTGATTAGGCATTTTGAAATGTTTTATTGTGTAGTGATATTCTTGTGTTTCACAAAAATATCTGGAACAGCTTAGAAATGTAAAAATCTGGTTCTTGTTTCCGTAAATCACGATTGAGTGTATGGGAAGAAAAGATTTAAACTTCAATTTAAAATTATTTTAAATTTAACCCTCTGGAAATTTCCTACTTTTGTATATATTATTCTTTTGTGGCAGATATTATATATGTAGAAGTGGAGGCTTTCAGCAGATAGCATTTTGTTATGGATGCCAGCCTGTTTTTCTCATTAAGCTAGTTGTACATAGTATTAAGAATATTTACTGTTTGCTGAAATGCCTTCTTTGCTATAACAAAGGAATATATATTTGTTTAGGTTGTACAGTGGTTGCTGGAAGAAAAATTGTGTGCGCTACAATGTGCTGTATTTGATAAGACTTTGGCAGAATTGAAAACACGAGTGGAAAAGATTGAATGTAACAAGAGGCATAAAACAGTTCTTACCGAATTACAGGTTTGTATACTGATGTGAATTGTATACCCATTTTATTGCTTATTTTTCATGGTACATTTTTGAAGTAGACAATAAAATGCATTTAACTTCTGATTTTTTTTTTAATTAATTATTTTTTCAGATGTTTCTCCTCCCCCTCCACTGATTACCTCCTTCGCCCCTCCCCGCTCTGTTCCCAGCTTTGTTGTCCATGTCCATTGTTCATGCATTCATGCATATAAGTTCTGTGGTTTATCTCTCCCCTACCACCCCCTTTTCTGGGGATTGTTAGGCTGTACCCCACTTCCATGACACTTAGACTATCCCATTCCTCAGAATGTTATGTTCATTATATACCACAAATAAGTGAGATCATATGATACTTGTCTTTCTCTGTTTGGTTTGTTTTGCTTAGGATAATACTTTCCAGGTCTCTCCATGTTGTATCAAAGAATAAGAGATCTTTCTTTCTTACAGCTGCATAGTACTCCATTGTGTATATGTACCACAGCTTTTTTATCATTCACCTACTGATGGACATTTCGGCCGTTTCCAGATCTTAGCTATTGTAAATAGTGCTGCTACGAACATGGGGGTACATATATTCTTTCTGATTGGTGTTTCAGGCTTCTTAGGGTATATTCCCAGAAGCGGGATCACTGGGTCAAATGGCAGTTCGATTTTTAATTTTTTGAGGTAACACCATACTGTTTTCCATAGTGGCTGCACCAGCCTGCATTCCCACCAGCAGTATACTAGACTCCCCTTTTCTCCACACCCTCGCCAACACTTGTTGTTTGATGATTTGTTGATGGCCATTCTAACAGGTGTGAGATGATACCTCATTGTTGTTTTAATTTGCATCTCTCTGATGATTAGTGATGTTGAGCATTTCTTCATATGTCTCTTAGCCATTTGTATGTCCTGTTTGGAGAGGTGTCTGTTTAGTTCCTCTGCCCATTTTTTAATTGGGTTCTTTGTCTTCCTTTTGTTGAGTTGTATGAGCACTCTACATATATTGGAAATTAACCCCTTATCTGATAAATTATTGGCAATTATGTTCTCCCACACAGTGGGTTGCCTTTCCATTTTGATGATTGTATCTTTTGCTGTGCAGAAGCTTTTGCGTTTGATGTAGTCCCATGTGTTCATTTTCTCCTTTGTTTCTGTTGCCTTAGGTGATGTATCAGTGAAAACTCTGTTGCATCTGATGTCTGAAATTTTGTTGCCTACATTTTCTTCTAGGATTTTTATGGATTCACAGGTCACATTTAAGTCTTTTATCCAATTTGAGTTTATTCTTGTGTAGGGTGTAAGGTGATGGTTTAGTTTTATGTTTTTGCATGTATTTGTCCAATTTTCCCAACACCATTTATTAAAGAGGCTCTCTTTACTCCACTGTATGCTCTTGCCTCCTTTTTCAAATATTACTTGAGCATATTGCGTTGGGTCCATTTCTGGGTCCTCTGATCTGTTCCACCAGTCTATATGCCTCTTCTTGTGCCAATACCAGGCTGCTTTGATTTTAGTCGCTTTGTAGTATAACCTGAAATTTGGTAATGTGATCCCTCCAACTTTGTTCTTGTTTTTGAAGATTGCTGTGGCTATTCGAGGTCTTTTTTGGTTCCATGTGAACTTTTGAAGTATTTATTCTAGTTCTGTGAAATATGTTGTTGGTATTTTGATGGGAATTGCATTGAATCTATAGATTGCTTTGGGTAGTGTGAACATTTTAATGATGTTAATTCTTCCAATCTATGAACAAGGTATGTGCTTCCACTTTTTTTTTATATCTTCCTCTATTTCTTTTTTCAATGATCTGTAGTTTTCTGTGAATAGGTCCTTTATTTCTTTGGTTTATTCCTAGGTATCTTAATTTTTTTGCTGCGATGGTAAATGGGATTGTTTTTTTAGTTTCTCTTTCTGTGAGTTCATCATTGGTATATAAGAATGCCGTCGATTTCTTGACATTAATTTTGTATCCTGCTACTTTGCCAAATTAATTTATTAAGTCCAGTAAGTTTTTGATGGAGTCTTTGGGGTTTTCTACATACAGTATCACGTCATCTGCGAATAATAACAGTTCACTTCCTTCTTTCACATTCGGATTCCTTTTATTGTTTCTTCATGTCTGATTGCTGTGGCTAAGACTTCCAGTACTATGTTAAATAAGAGTGGCGAAAGTGGGCGTCCTTGTCTTGTTCCTGTTCTTAAGGGAAATGCTTTTAATTTTTACCCATTGAGTATGATGTTGGCTGTAGGTCTTTCATATATGGCCTTTATTATGTTGAGATATGATCCCTCTATTCCCAGATTGCTGAGCCTTTTTATCAGAAATGGGTGCTGGATTTTGTCTAATGCTTTTTCAGTGTCTATTGATATGATCTTTCATTTTGTTTATGCGGTGTATTGCATTGATTGATTTGCGAATATTGTACCAGCCTTGCATCCCTGAGATGAATCCCAGTTGGTCATGGTGAATAATTTTTTTGATGTATTGCTGGATTCGATTTGCTAGTATTTTGTTCAGGATTTAGCATCTATGTTCATCAGCGGTATTGGTCTGTAGTTTTCTTTCTTTGTAGTGTCTTTTTCTGGTTTTGGAATTAGAATTATGCTGGCCTCATAAAACAAGTTTGGAAGTCTTTCTTCTTGAATTTTTGGAAATAGTTTGAGGAGAATGGGTATTAGTTCTTCTTTGAATGTTGGGTAAAATACCTCCGTGAAGCCGTATGGGCCTGAGCTTTTGTTTGCTGAGAGAGTCTTGATTACATCTTCAATTTCATTTGCTGTTATTGGTCTGTTCAAGTTTTCTATCTCTTCCCGGTTCAGTTTTAGGAGACTGTGTGTTTCTAGAAATTTGTCTATTTCGCTTAGATTGTTGAATTTGTTACCGTATAATTGTTCATAATATTTGTTAACAGTCCCTTGTATTTCTGTGGTGTCAGTTATTATTTCTCCTTTTTCATTTCTGATTTTGTGTATTTGGGTTCTCTCTCTTTGTTTCTAGGTTTGTCTAGCTAACGGTCAATCAATCTTGTTTATCTTTTCAAAGAACCAGCTCTTTCATCCATTGATCCTTTGAATTGGGTTTTTGGTCTCCATGGCATTTATTTCTGCCCTGATCTTGACTTTGTCCTTCCTTCTACTTGCTCTGGGGTTTTCTTTCTGTTTGCTTTCTAATTCTTTAAGTTGTGAAGTTAGATAGTCTATTAGAGATTCTTCTTGCTTCTTGAGGTGGGCCTGTAGTGCTATGAACTTTCCTCTCAGGACTGCTTTTGCTGCATCCCATAGATTTTGTGTTGTGTATTCATTTTCATTGGTTTCCAGGAATTTTTTAATTTTTTCCTTGATCTCCATGGTAACCCATTCATTGTTAAATAACATGCTATTTAGTCTCCATGTGTTCAAATGCCTTTGCATGTTCTTGTTGCAATTGATTTCTAGTTTCATGCCATTGTGATCTGAGGAAATGCTTGATATGATTTCAATCTTCTTGAACTTGTAGAGATTTAGTTTGTGCTCTAACATGTGGTCTGTCTTTGAGAATGTCCCATGTGCACTTGAGAAGAATGTGAATTCTGCAGTTTTGGGGTGTAATTCTCTGCAGGTATCTATTAAACCCATTTGATCTAGAGCTTCATTTAGAGTCTGTGTTTCCTTGTTAATTTTTTGTCTAGAAGATGTATCCCGTGATGTCAGTGGGGTATTGAAGTCTTCTGCTATGATTATATTGCTGCTGATTTCTTCTTTGAAGTCCTCCAAAAGTTTTTTAATATATGTTGTGCTCCTATATTGGGTGCATATATGTTTACCAAGGTTATATCTTCCTGTTGGATAGATCATTTCAATATTATGTAGTGGCCTTCTTTGTCTCTAGTTATGGTCTTCATTCTGAAATCTACTTTATCAGATATGAGTATTGCTACCACAGCCTTTTCTTCCTTTTCGTTTGCTTGCAGGATTTTTTTCCACCCCTTCACTTTCAACCTATGTGAGTCTTTTGTTGTGAGGTGGGTTTCTTGTAAACAACATATATGTGAGTCATGCTTTCTTATCCAGCCAGCTACTTTGTGTCTTTTTATCAGAGCATTGAAACCCGTCACATTTAATGTGATAATTGATATGTACTTACTTATTGCCATTTTTGTTTAGTGTGGTTCTATTTCTTCCTATTTTTTCTTCTAATTACAGCAGTCCTTTTAGCATATCTTGCAGTGCTGGTTTGTTGTTAATATATTCCCTTAGCCTTTTTTTTTTTTTTTTTGTCTGGAAAGCTCTTTATTTGACCTTCTATTTTGAATGATAGCCTTGCTGGATAGAGTAATCTTGGATTCAGATCCTAGGTTTTCATGACGTTCATTACTTCATGCCACTCCCTTCTGCCCTATAGTGTTTTTGTTGAGAAGTCACCTGGGAGCCTTATGGGGTTTCCTTTGTAGGTAACCTATTGCTTATCTCTTGCTGCCTTTAGGATTCTTTCTTTTTCTTTAAGCTTTTGGTATTTTAATTACTATGTGTCTTTGTGTGGGCCTGTGTGGGTTTTTCTTACTTGTGGCGCTCTATGCTTCTTGAACTTGAATGCCTTCTTCCTTTCACCAAGTTAGGAAAGTTTTCTGTCACTATTTCTTCATATATATTCTCCAACCCTTTTCCATTTTCTTCCTCTTCGGGGACTCCTATGATGTGAATGTTATTACGTTTCCAGTTGTCCCACAGTTCTCTTAAGCTGTCTTCCTATTTTTTAATTGTTTTTTTCTTTTGGTTTTCTGATAGGTTGATTTTTTTTCTACCCTGTGTTCTAATTCACTGATCCTCAGCTTCCTCTACTCTGATGGTTTGTCCTTCCAATGTTTTTAATTTCTGGTATGTCATTCCTCATTTCCACTTGGTTGGTTTTCAATGTTTCTATATCTTTACTCATGCTGTTGAAGTTCCTCAAGATCATGGCTCTGAACTCTACCTCTGATAATTTACTTAGCTGCATTTCATTGATCTCATCTTTGATAGAGTTCTCTTGT